GAAGTCAGTAAAGCGAATGCTATACGAAAAGGAAGAGTTCCAATAGCATGGACAAATGAACGAACATCATAACCGGAGATTTCTCTCAGAATAAATGAAATCAAAGAATTCAAAATACTATCAAAGGTTTAGATAAAAGAGGCTTAAAAGTATTGATTACGGAAACTCTCTAATGGACATAAACCAGTCACAGGTTTGGCTCAATACCCTCAGATAGCATAGTGTTTTCTATGATAATTTACCTATTTCTAAGTTGCTCGTCCTTACAACTATGTGTATAAACAGCAAACAGAGTAAAAATTTATTAATTTTCAGGTTTCTACCAATTAAGTTTATCCTTCAATGAAAGTTCAATGATGCAGAGATCCAGAACGCGAAAACGTACCATAGCCAGTGCGTCTCTGCTACATCTTCCAGTTGCCACTCCCATAGTCTAATCTCAGTCACATGATTCGACCAGTAAGATAAGATACGACGCATCAGTTGTTGTTCGTACCATGCATAAGCTCTTTCCTCCGTTTGCCGAGTTAGTTCACATGCCTATCAGTGAATAAAATCCACGGAGGAAGACGTATTGGTAGTCAATAGGATGAAAATTCCAAAAATAAAGCATGCCCAAGTAGCAAAGTTTAAATCATAGTAACTGATTATCTTAGACTGCATATAACGAGGGACGTGGTGCGCATGCTCATAAATAGTTTTTCTAATTATTATTATTATTGTTATTATTATTATTATTATTATTATTATTGTTTTGCATGAGTTATGTTATACTATGTTAATAAGTCAACACTCTAAAGCGAATTAATTTCCGCAAACCCCCACGATACGTGAAAATCCCCAAACTTGCGGCGTTCAATCAATTGCATTATTTGCATATGCGTATACTTTTGAACGCACTCCATTTTCGCCGAAACACTTTCTACATTCCTGAACATGTGTATTTTTACTAACGCATAGGATGATGATTCATCAGTACTCACCAGTGATGTATACAACATGAGGGATAAAAATTTTGGATTATACCGCTTTGCGGTAAGGATGCTGATGCTAATGACGATATAATGGATGTACTGCTTAGCTAAGAAGTGCATTAATACATCTCCGAAAAAATCACTTCGTCGGGCTCTTCGTTACGTTGCGTAGTAAGCTCGGCATGAGACGTAGTTTCTATTCTCACTAAACGTGTAGACGTAGCTTATCTCTTCGGCTCAGTGAAGAGCATAGTTGTGGAGAACTTATGATGCTGTTTGTATTAAAATGTATATTCGTTAGCTAATAAAATACATGCAAAATTTTGTTTCCGCCAAATATTGTTTCACTAAGTTCTTCATTGCATTATATTCTTAGGTAAAAGTATTGAAAGTTATTGGTGTTATAGAAATAATATGTGCCGCAAAATTCCACGTTGCAGCGTAAGTTACGCAAAACCACGTCAAAATGGTTGAAAACAAACCGGCGAGGCCGCAATAAGCAAGCCGCGACATAGCGCGGGAGAGCTTTAGATAAATAGTCTCAATGATTGTTGAAAACAGTTAACCGGCAAATAGTTTCAGATAATTTTCTTTCAATATTGTCCAATGATCAAAGTGCGTGTAAAATATGGACCGTTGAACATTTCTACGCATCTATGCATACTTGGATATGGTAGAGTCAACATATAAAGAAGTTTCGGTCTTTGTGTAAGTAGTAGGTAGTATATGAAGTGATTTGTTCGCAAAATTTTTACATAAATTCTTGTGGAGCTTGCAAACATCAACAACCGAAAACTATGGATACATGGCTGATAATCCCTAATCTTTTTTTAAGAGACCCCACAAAACAACGAGGGAGCAGTATGGCAAGACTGGAGCTACACACTGAAGAATATGCTAGAGAATGTGCCAGTTTGTAATAGGGGTCACGATAGTTAGCACAGAGACGCTCACCGACTGTTAACCGACATCATCATACAGTACCACAATTCTTCGGGATTAGGATGGCTTTTATTGCTACTTGCCTAATGCATCTGGCTAATTATTGGCTTTCGACATACTTTGAAACCTGCTCATTTCCTTACTGGGTTCATCTGCATGACTTGTGGAAAGGCAAAAACCAAAACCATGAAGGAAGCTGTTTGGTAACTGATTATGCGCTATTCAGAACTACCACTTTAACTAACCGACTGACACATCAACATTTAACCACAAACCTAAACGGAGAATTCTATAACGTTTGACTCAGTTACTTATGAGTAGTAAATATAAACAAGTGATAATTGGATGGTTAACCAAGGTCAGCAACAACATTTATCAAATAATGCTAGTCACTAGGATAAATGTTGCATACCCATTGGAAGCGGATAAAGGCTTTTCTCAGTAGCATTTGAGAATAGACACGTTGAACCATTTCCGCTGCTAGTTTTTGGGATTCCCGGAATCCGTTGACCCAACTTCTTAGCACAGTTCTGATGTTGGAGTCCGATGATGGAAGAGAAATACACAGTGAAATGAACAAGAAAATGGAACAGGATACCATGAACGTTGTTTAACAAATAAAAAAACTTACAGAAACTTTCCTGTCTTCTTACATTATTTTCTGAGTTTTAGGGTTTGGTGTTATAGAGCAGTAAATGAAGGACTGAAAACAGGCTTTTTAATCTTCAGTCTTCAGGATTGGGGGCAGAGGGCNAGACGCCGTTTGAAAGCAGCGTCTGTCTTCTCTTCCACCAGAATCGCTGGAAGGGATTTCCAGTGTTGTTGATCTACGCGAGAGTCGGTAGACTAACGGAAGACCAACTGACTGAAGTTTCCGCAACGTGAGAGAGTGCCCCCGCGTGCGGTGCTGTCCGTAAAGAGAAGTACTGTTGGAGCTCCGGGCCCATATTACCTATCAGAATCTTCCTCAGGCAGATGAGATCTCCCCTGAGGCCCCGATACGCATCTGGGAACAGACCAGTAGCCTGAAGACGACCTTCAAAGCTGGTCCCGCGTAGTCCAACAACGAGTCTAGTGGCAGCACATTGTACACGCTCCAAGTTAGCCAGTTCACCGACTGTGCAGGGGTATGTCGCCGCACTACCATACTCAAGTTTTGGTTTGATATGGGAAGCGTACAGCGGTCTGAAAGCGTCCATCGTGAGCTGGTTGAAAGACCGCCGAATAGACCCCAGAGTGCTCTATGTGCTAGCGCAGACCCGATCGGTGTTTTCTCAGGTCTTTAGTGATGACGTAACCATAACACCCAGGTCTCGTTCGCACGATGTTCTGCACAATGGGGTTCCCTGGAAGTTGTAGACTACCTCTGAGTCAGCACGCCCCAAGTGCAGGTGAGCACACTTTGCTGTGTTGACTGGAAGACCCAGGTATCCGCCCACTGAGCCAGGTTGTTCAAATCCGCTTGAAGAGAACTTCGATCATTCGGATCCTTGATTGTACGCCAGATTTTGATGTCATCCGCATACATGAGGGATGGGCTGCACAGTTGACCGGGT